ATAGACGCTACCTCGAACTAATAAGCAATGTTTTTACGCTTCAGCATAGCCAAAAACACTTAGACTGAACGCATTTCAGGCTGAACTTACCAAAGCTGTCATAAACGGACTTCAAACCCCTAAACTCAGATATTTCCTAGGCCTACTGTGTACATTTTTTAAGAGTGAGGAAATCACATGACGCAATGTGGGAATTCGAACGAGCGTTCTAGTGCCTCCAAGACACTCGCCTTGAAACCCAAATCCCACACGTTTCTCCAAATGATTGTATCGTTAATATTTCAAGCCATTGTGATTTCTTTATGATTTTTTTTCACTGTATTATGGAGAGTAACTGTGGAGTGTCAAGGGTTGAAAATATGTGGCCATGGGAAGCAGACTGTAGAAACATGCACATAGGAAATTAGGCAAGCAGTCAACTGGATCTATATAATAGGTTGGAGGCCAAACGCTAGTGGTTAGTCTCTCGCAGCTTTCCATGGTGAGTGGCGGTTGTATGGGGGTGTGTCATAGGGTGATAGGAGGCGACCCCCAAACCCATCTAAGTAGGGCTGGCTCTTCATCCCCCCCTCCCCCCCCCAACCCGTCTAAGACTGGATCTTTATCTTCAAAGTTTTGGTTGGTTTATCGTTGCAATAACCAACGAATCCTATGAAGCCTGAAATGTGGGTTTAATTGTCCAGAGTGTGTTTTCAAACTGAATTATTGATCGTTTTGAAATGTTTTCAAAATATTTCGTTGTGTAGCCGGCTGGTAGTGCCACAAAATCGTCGTGGGGTTCCGACTGTCACCCAGGCACTCTTTTGAATTCTGGCGACGTCCACCTGCCTATGTTCGTCCCGGACCACAGACCATTCACAGTGCCAATTTGGGTGAAGCACCACCAAGCGTCTGACCATCTTTGCACAAATATACAAATATTCTCTCGTATAATCTCCCTAATATTACACACACATTATATTATATATATTATATATATATATATATATATATATATATATATATATATATATATATATATATATATATATATATATATATATATATATATATATATATATATATATATATATATATATAATATATATATATATATATATATAATATATATATATATATATATATATAATATATATATATATATATATATATATATATATATATATATATATAATATATTATATATATATATATATAATATATATATATATATATATATATATATATATATATATATATATATATATATATATATATATATATATATATATATATATATATATATATCTATCATTCGTGGGTTCAAACTTTGGACGCCAAAGTTTGGATACGGTCGAGAGAGAATGAATACTGAAGGAACGAAGTCGAAATTAGGAAAGAAGAGCTTTGATAAGAGAAAATAAGCCAAAACTAAAGTTTGCACCTGTGAGCGAGGTTTACTCCGGCCGGGAGCGGAGGGAAAATATCCCTATCTCCCCTCTTCAACGTCATGGGAGGCCTAAATAGGCCTACGTAATGATTACCGTCGGAAGGGACGCGCCGGAGGTGGGCTGATCGAGGACGGCGTGACAGGCCTCTGTCAATCTTTCTGTCAGTTCGTGTATTATAACTTCAGGAGCGCTGATACATTTGGTCGATTGAGTTTCTATTGTCCTTTGATGTTCAATGGGAGATCTTTCTCTTAAGATCCAATTCGGGGAGCCCCCCCCAAAATATATATTATTTGTAATGAGAAAGGTCAAAGGTCAGAGGAAGGTTACATCAAGGTCAAAGGTCACAAAGATCTCAAAATGGTGTGGAGGTGCACTATGTTGAGGGGGGGGGGGGGGAGAGAGAGAGAGAGAGAGAGAGAGAGAGAGAGAGAGAGAGAGAGAGAGAGAGAGAGAGAGAGAGAGAGAGAGAGAGAGAGAGAGAGAGAGAGAGAGAGAGAGAGAGAGAGAGAGAGAGAGAGAGAGAGGGGTGTGTGTGTGTGTGTGTGTGTGTGTGTGTGTGTGTGTGTGTGTGTGTGTGTGTGTGTGTGTGTGTGTGTGTGTGTGTGTGTGTGTGTGTGTGTGTGTACACAAAACAGAAAAATATGGGGCCCGGGTTCAAAGCTCCGCAGCAGAAAGAGATACTTTAACCAGCATCATCAGTCTTGATAACTATTGGCTCCCCCCCCCCCCCTCCCCAAGCAGTAATTGGGGAACCTGGCTGTCAACCAATGAACGCGTTGAGTTCCAGGGACAACTCACAAGTGCAAGCTTAAAATAAGCTCCGCGATAGCTTCTTAAGCCCCTGCCATAACGAGTCAATCTGATCCTCCACTATCCTGTCAAAAAAGGAAAAGAAAAAAACAAAAAAGTTTTCCCAGCATACTCTAAAAAAGCTGTCGCTATTTTGTGTGATACACGTCACTCTACACGCAGCTGTTGGGAGCTGGTTAGGGAGGGGAATTGGGGGGTTGGGGTTGGAGAAAAAAAAAAGAAGGGCCGGGGGAGGGGGGGGGGGCAGGATAACCACTCTTCGAGTCAGCGACAGTTAGCCTGTTTTTTGACTGTTCAGGAACCGGATAAAGTGGCCAGGTTCAGGACTTTCCTGTTGGCGCCTAAGCCCGTCAATCCCTGAAATATGACTAGCAGATCAAAGAGACAATAACGCCGCCCCTCGCTAACAGTGCCAACGGTGAGGCCTGGTGTGGAGGCACTTGTGGACGAGGAGTAGAGGCACTCCAGCAGGGGGTTCCTGGAACTACAGTGGTGGGGGGAGAGGGGAGGTTCCTGGACCTGTAGAGGGGGAGGTAGTTAGTTCCTGGAGCTACAGAGGTGGGGGTGAGGGTTCCTGGACCTGTAGAGGGGGAGGTAGTTAGTTCCTGGAGCTACAGAGGTGGGGGGGGAGGGTTCCTGGACCTGTAGAGGGGGAGGTAGTTAGTTCCTGGAGCTACAGAGGTGGGGGGGGGGGAGGGTTCCTGGACCTGTAGAGGGGGAGGTAGTTAGTTCCTGGACCTGTAGAGGGGGAGGTAGTTAGTTCCTGGACCTGTAGAGGGGGAGGTAGTTAGTTCCTGGACCTGTAGAGGGGGAGGTAGTTAGTTCCTGGAGCTACAGAGGTGGGGGGGGGAGGGTTCCTGGACCTGTAGAGGGAAAGGTAGTTAGTTCCTGGACCTGTAGAGGGGGAGGTAGTTAGCTCCTGGAGCTACAGAGGTGGGGGAGAGGGTTCCTGGACCTGTAGAGGGGGAGGTAGTTAGTTCCTGGACCTGTAGAGGGGGAGGTAGTTCCTGGAGCTACAGAGGTGGGGGGGGGGAGGGTTCCTGGACCTGTAGAGGGGGAGGTAGTTAGTTCCTGGAGCTACAGAGGTGGGGGAGGGTTCCTGGACCTGTAGAGGGGGAGGTGGTTAGTTCCTGGAACTACAGAGGTGGGGGCGGGTGAGGAATTATTCCTCAGTTCCTGGAACCTGGTTCCTGGAATGCAGTTCCTGGAACTGCACCGTGGGGTTCTGCTTGTCAAAAGTGTGACCGGCACTCCATGGAGGAGTTGCTGGCACTCCATGGAGGAGTTGCTGGCACTCCATGGAGGAGTTGCTGGCACTCCATGGAGGAGTTGCTGGCACTCCAGCAAAGAGGACGGGGGCATGTTCAAGAACTGAATATAATGTCAAGCTGTGTTATTAAATACAGGATGTTCACGCATAACGTTTCTCAAGGAACATTAAGTTATTGACAAGTTTTAATATCTGGAAATCCCTATCTCCAGAAAACTTCATTTTTATATTTGTACAGGCCAATTACACTTGATTAATCTTTGTATGTAGATAGCAGCTGCCTCGTATAGGCCAATAGGCCTTCCGCAGTTACCTCTATTCTTATGTTCTTATGTATCCCCCCATGTTTTCACCCTTATTGTCTTATCACCTGACCCAGTGCGGGTATAAAATCAACCAAACCTGAAAATTCCTTTCACTTGAGAATGAACCATGGAGGTTCGAAACGTTGTGCAAATTGTATAAATAAGTGTAATACATTCTGTAGTAATTCACTTCTTTTCTTCACCTTAAAATTACGAAAATGAGTTTTGGAGAACTCCTATTTCAGCTAAGCCCTGATGCTAAGAAAATAGAGGGATAGAAGCCCTAAATCAGAAAATAGTAAATACAGAATATGCGGTCATATTCAATGAGACATATATATATATATATATATATATATATTGATTGCCAATATTTCCAAGTTCTTGACAGACAAGAACAGGCCTTTTAATGCCTGCAAAGCGAGAGAGGAGATGGATGCAGCTGCTTATTACACGTGTTGCTAAACACAGCCCAGATATTGGCCAATATAACCTCCGCGTGACAAATTTGATTATTGCTCATGTTATGTCCTGAGAAACCCTTCTGTCCAAGTTTCCCCGAATGTATTTGTCCAGGCTGGTGAATGTTTGCGAGTAACACACACACGCAAACACACAAACACACATGCGTTTGTGTGTTTGTGAGTGTGTGTGAACCAGTTACACACATGCAAAACTTGCTTCCTATCCTTCAGTTTATAACCCTATTATTGCTGTTGCTTCTTGGTTATATTTTACAATATCTTGGAGTTGTTTACTTTTCTCCTCCCTAAGGCCAATCAACCGGGGAAGAGTTATCAAGGTAACCCATAATGGCCACAATATTGCGGCTATTGTAGCTTCAACCACAATAATACTAACATATAAACACTTTGGTCCATGAACACAGTCCAGGACTCTAGGAAAACTGTTAACACTGAGAAGCTGGCTACGCCTCTCTTACACTGCATACAGCGTATGCATATAGAGTTGCCTCCTTCTTGTCTTCGATTTCCAGAGGGATTCCTGGAGAGGGATTGGTGGTGCTCTATCATAACCCCTTCCCCCCATTCCCTCCTGGTCCTAATAGTGTTACAGACCACTGCTGGAACGGCAGATACCATACCAGCTTCTCCAGCTGTTCTCTTGTTTGTAATTTCATTGTGGTGTTCCTTCAGGCGTTGTAATTATATGTAGCTTTTTTCACTGTTTATTGAGGGTCTGTGATCTTGTCTGCTGCCTGGATGTGGCTCTGCTGAAGGGTCTGTGATCTTGTCTGCTGCCTGGATGTGGCTCTGCTGGAGGGGCTGTGATCTTGTCTGCTGCCTGTGTACCTCTGTGATCTTGTCTGCTGCCTGGATGTGGCTCTGCTGGAGGGGCTGTGATCTTGTCTGCTGCCTGGATGTGGCTCTGCTGGAGGGGCTGTGATCTTGTCTGCTGCCTGGATGTGGCTCTGCTGAAGGGTCTGTGATCTTGTCTGCTGCCTGGATGTGGCTCTGCTGGAGGGGCTGTGATCTTGTCTGCTGCCTGGATGTGGCTCTGCTGGAGGGGCTGTGATCTTGTCTGCTGCCTGGATGTGGCTCTGCTGGAGGGGCTGTGATCTTGTCTGCTGCCTGGATGTGGCTCTGCTGAAGGGTCTGTGATCTTGTCTGCTGCCTGGATGTGGCTCTGCTGAAGGGTCTGTGATCTTGTCTGCTGCCTGGATGTGGCTCTGCTGAAGGGTCTGTGATCTTGTCTGCTGCCTGGATGTGGCTCTGCTGGAGGGGCTGTGATCTTGTCTGCTGCCTGGATGTGGCTCTGCTGGAGGGGCTGTGATCTTGTCTGCTGCCTGGATGTGGCTCTGCTGAAGGGTCTGTGATCTTGTCTGCTGCCTGGATGTGGCTCTGCTGAAGGGTCTGTGATCTTGTCTGCTGCCTGGATGTGGCTCTGCTGAAGGGTCTGTGATCTTGTCTGCTGCCTGGATGTGGCTCTGCTGGAGGGGCTGTGATCTTGTCTGCTGCCTGGATGTGGCTCTGCTGGAGGGGCTGTGATCTTGTCTGCTGCCTGGATGTGGCTCTGCTGGAGGGGCTGTGATCTTGTCTGCTGCCTGGATGTGGCTCTGCTGGAGGGGCTGTTATCTTGTCTGCTGCCTGGACGTGGCTCTGCTGGAGGTTTTCTGCCAAACTCTGCCTCTTCTAGTTACCACCCCTATCCTACTTCCTCCCCCCACCCTTTACAGAGGCTGGTGCCCCTATCCTTATACTCCCTTTTCCAAAGTCTTCTATCCCAACATTCTACTCTCAATTCCTACTTCCACGCACCTTCCCACCAGTGACACACACACTCCCTTCTTGAGGTTATCTTGAGACGATTTCGGGGCTTTAGTGTCCCCGCGGCCCGGTCTTCGACCAGGCCTCCACCCCCAGGAAGCAGCCCGTGACAGCTGACTAACTCCCAGGTACCTATTTACTGCTAGGTAACAGGGGCATCAGGATGAAAGAAACTCTGCCCATCGTTTCTCGCCGGCGCCCGGGATCGAACCCGGGACCACAAGATCACGCGTCTAGTGTTCTGTCCGCTCAGCCACCGACTCCCTACTCTCAAGTCCTTAACACATCTCTCACATTCGCTCCATTAGAAGCGTATTCAACCACAACCTCAACTTTGGAGGCACTACGGGCTCACCATAGCCCGTGCTACTTGGAAACTTTTTGTTCCAAGTAGCGAATCTTAAACAACAAACTAACTTAGGAGCCGGTCGGCCGAGCAGACAGCACGCGAGACTTGTGATCCTGTGGTCCCGGGTTCGATCCCGGGCGCTGGTGAGAAAGAATGGGCAGAGTTTCTTTCACCCTATGCCCCCTGTTACCTAGCAGTAAAATAGGTACCTGGGTGTTAGTCAGCTGTCACGGGCTGCTTCCTGGGGGTGGAGGCCTGGTCGAGGACCGGGCCGCGGGGACACTAAAGCCCCGAAATCATCTCAAGATAACCTCTCAAGATAACGTTCTTCCTAAACACCCCATCAAAACCCCATTCCTTCCCTCCTCACCCCATCTATCAGTTTTTAAAAGCACTACAATCACCTTCTGTGGTTGTTCAATAAATCCCTGAACTATATGTTTAACAAATCTCTAACCCTGTCCATTAAGAACAGAAGAAAATATATATATATGCTTGTTAGCATTGTTAATGTGTGGCCACGTCTGTGGTAGAAAAAAATCTAGTCACAGTGAATACCAGCATTATCCTCACTTTAATAGGACTGAATTGAAATCCTCAGATTTGGCAAAATTGTAATTAATTTTGTCAATAAAGTTGTTAATAATAATAATACCAGTTCCTCTCCTTTACTCCCTCTGTGAGAGAATGAAATTCCCTTCAGCTAGTTTTTCTAGATTAGGCTAGAGTGTTTGGTGCTCTCTAGACAAGAAGTTCTCACACTAAACGTCTTGTGTGATGTAGGCAGAAAGACCAGGCTTACACCTATGCATTAAGGCTACAAGGAAGTCTGTAACGGCTCTGTGGAAAGAGTGACAGAATTTATCATGTTTTTGCTGAGAAAATGTGGAGAGAGAGATATTTGAACTGGTAAGCCAACGGTTTCAGTGGGGGGGGGGGGGGGCTTATCCCCCCCCTCTCTGTGGGGTATGACGTCATACCCCTAGGCCTTCCCCGCCTAGTGTGACGTCACGGGACGCCGCATGGTTACCTTACCTTGAGGTTACCTTGAGGTGCTTCCGGGGCTCAGCGTCCCCGCGGCCCGGTCGTCGACCAGGCCTCCTCGTTGCTGGACTGGTCAACCAGGCAGTTGGACGCGGCTGCTCTCAGCCTGACGTGTATTGTGACGTGAATGTGTATGAGCATACACAGTAACACAATTCAGTTGTATATCTAATACAAATTGTGTGTCAGGTTATCTTGAGGTTATCTTGAGATGATTTCGGGGCTTTAGTGTCCCCGCGGCCCGGTCCTCGACCAGGCCTCCACCCCCAGGAAGCCAGCTGACTAACTTCCAGGTACCTATTTACTGCTAGGTAACAGGGGCATTCAGGGTGAAAGAAACTTTTGCCCATTTGTTTCTGCCTCGTGTCGACTGACTCGAGTAAATAAACCTGGCCAGTGTGGATATTTTTCCCATATAAATGTTGTGTTGATCTGACGAATCACTATATATATCATTCAGAATCAAGATTAATGCATGTTGCCGCGTGTAAGTATATCATTTCAGAGGTAGGCAGGCCTGTGTATTTAGGGTTGACCAGAGGACACCCTGAGGTCTGTATAACTGCGTATAGACGGGCTCACCATAGCCCGTGCTACTTGGAACTTTTTTTGTTCCAGGTAGCGAATCTTTAACAACAACAACAACAACTGTGTATATTTTGTCTAGTGATATATATTTTGGATTGATTCATGAGGGGCAAAGTGTTATGAGTTTATATGAGTGTATTATCATTGTTTAGTGTGTGCCAATGCCATGAGTTTTCCATTGCATGTCCAGTAATTTGTCAGATCAAGGTCATGGGTGGTCGGCTGTTGGCCAGATTCACGAAGCAGTTACGCAAGTACTTACGAACCTGTACATCTTTCCTCAATCTTTGACGGCTTTGTTTACATTTATTAAACAGTTTACAAGCATGAAAACTTGCCAATCAACTGTTGTTATTGTTATAAACAGCCTCCTGGTGCTTCGGAGCTCATTAACTGTTTAATAATTGTAAACAAAGCCGTCAAAGATTGAGAAAAGATGTACAGGTTCGTAAGTACTTGCGTAACTGCTTCCTGAATCTGGCCCCTGGGGTCTGAAATTAATGTGTTGTGTGGTGAGTCAGTAATTGTGATTACTGACTGACTGCATAGTGATGTCATTAGCATATGGGGTATGCTGATGACATCAGCATGTTGCGTGTTTGGGCAGCGTTATTGAACGTTGCCAAAACGTTGAAAAAACGTTGTTTTAGTATAAGTTATATTACTGCCCTAGGAGCTGTGTTGATGATTTAAGGAGGACCTTTTTAATTAATCAGGGAATTCACAGTGATTAATGTGGGAGCAAGCGATTGATTAATCTGACTAATGGGGAGAATTAGTGCCATGCAGCTGTCAGTGTAGCGACGGTGTCTTGAGTTATCTTGAGGTTATCTTGAGATGATTTCGGGGCTTTAGTGTCCCCGCGGCCCGGTCCTCGACTAGGCCTCCACCCCCAGGAAGCAGCCCGTGACAGCTGACTAACTCCCAGGTACCTATTTACTGCTAGGTAACAGGGGCATTCAGAGTGAAAGAAACTTTTGCCCATTTGTTTCTGCCTCGTGCGGGAATCGAGTTAACATAAATTGCAGTGTTGAAGTAGTGATTCCACACAGTAGTTCTTTGCAGTGTGTTGCAAGATTAAGGGAGCGGTAATGTTGGGGAATACATTTGTAGTGTTCCCAAACCGCGTCTGTCATTACTGTGGGAGGTACAGTAATTAACGTGTTGCAAGGGGTTGCAACCGTATGGGGCCGTGACATTTATTTTATGTCACTGAGTGAGTGAGTAATCAGGAGAAAGCGCCAAGCCATTACGACTTGGAAGGGGTCAGGATAAGGATTTGGGATGGGACGGGGGTAGAAGGAATGGTGCCCCAACCACTTGGACGGTCGGGGATTGAACGCCGACCTGCATGAAGCGAGACCGTCGCTCTACTGTCCAGCCCAAGTGGGGGGGGGGGGGTTATGTCACTGAGTGTGACCTATGTAACTTGAGGTTACTTTGTGTTTCTTTAAGTTATGTTGACGACTGAAGGATTCAGTGAGAGTTAATTAAGGGGGTTGATTAACTTTATAAGGGGGTTGCACATTACTTAATGAGGGAGCTGTTAAGGGAAACAAGTGTTGAACTTGTCGAGATCCGTTTCAGGTGAAATTAATTGTCCGTGTGACAACTAATTGCCCACTCTAGCTAATTGCCTGATTAGCATTCTCATCATGAATTCACATAGTGGGGTGGAACTGTGAAAGGCTGAGAGTATTTGTGTTAACGTAATTTGCTTGTGACTAATTACCTGTCTGGTATGGCAATTAGTGGTTCATGTTAATTAGTGGAGTAATTAACGTCAAAGGGCTTGGCTGACTCGTAGGGCGATGTCATTGGGCTAGCATAACTCGTTAGATTAATCATATCTTGTCGGAGTGACAGTTGATTAAGCGGCACTCGTGTTAATTAGAGTAATTAACACCTCGTCCACGAATTCACAGTGTTTAATGACACCACCTTAGGCAGTGCAGAGCGAGACGTATTTATGTATAATTAATTATCGGTCAAGGTGACAATTAATTGCTCGGAGTTAATTAGGGTAATTAACGCTCAGTAAAGTTTGACATAGACTGTTGAGAAGCTACCAAGAGAGTGTGGAAGGCTTAAGTAACGTTACTCGTTTGGGATTTAATTAGTTGTTCGTTTGACAATAATTAGGAATTACTCACTGAATGATTGACGGGGGTCAAGTATGACGTAGTTTAGAGATAAGTTACTGTTAACAGTTTGACTTGTTTGTAGAAAACAAGTATTTGTGATTAACGTAAAAGTACTTTGTTGCTGACTGCTGTTGACAGTCATTTAACGTAATTAATCACATAATCAACTTTGTAATTGATTAAGGCAATTTGTTTGATTATCGTCTATGGAGATGAGAGTAAAGTAACTTGGGGATTACTGAAGAAGTGTCTCAGGATCCCACTTAGTTAGCTTTGTTTACGTTTGCAACTTCATTGCAGGAAGTTGCAAAAAGTGTTCACATAGGATTGGGATAGGATTGAGATTGGAGCCGGTCGGCCGAGCGGACAACACGCGGGACTTGTGATCCTGTGGTCCTGGGTTCGATCCCAGGCGCCGGCGAGAAACAATGGGCAGTTTCTTTCACCCTATGCCCCTGTTACCTAGCAGTAAAATAAGTACCTGGGTGTTAGTCAGCTGTCACGGGCTGCTTCCTGGGGGTGGAGACCTGGTTGAAGACCGGGCCGCGGGGACACTAAAGCCCCGAAATCATCTCAAGATAACCTCAAGATAACCTAGGGGGTTATCAGTGTTGGACTACCCACCTAGTTACTTGAATACCTCACCTAGAGGGCTCTGAGGGTCAATAAAGATTGTGATTATATTATTACTCACCATGAGAGCCGTG